GCCTTAAGAACAGACCCATTCTTTTCCTCCATGTTGTTGATAAATATCCATATCATAGAGTCATAGACAGTATGGAAAAATAACATCAAATTGAAGTTCGATAACATATTTTTCGGCATTGCCGTGCGAATCTGTGTAGATATGATGCTCAAAAAGGATATCTAACCTCTTGAGACGAGGTGATGTAGTGCGACAGAGACAGCAGGAAGGTGATCGGATATGCTTAATCGCGCAAAAAAACTCTTATTTACATTTTGTTAGGAGAGCAGAGTCTCGCGCCGGGGATAAAGCCGTGGGCGCTGTGTATTCGAAGTTGTCGATAAGGATAAGAGAAGGAAAGGAAGGACGAGCTCTTGCGACTTTCACAAGTCCACTTTATCTCCGACGAGAGATGTCCGACGGCATGGAGCGAGAGAAAAATGAGAGGTTAACCGCAAGAGAGATCGAGGAAGAGGAGATGAAGCGCGAGCTTACGGGTAATCAGAGGGCGTTTATAAAAATATATACGGAGGGTAATTAGGATATCGAAGTTGAATGCAGAAAGAGATTGATTGTGGAATTTTCTGATTTTTTGCAAAACAACAAGCATTACGTAACATTACCGACGTGTTTAGACGTTTTAGAAAATTCGTATCGAATGTTTAAATATAAATAATTCTTTCTCATTTGTAATTCTCTTTATAACTTTCTACATCTTGGTGTGCATATTTTAATACATGACACATTCTATAACTAGTTTTACAACCAAGCACGAGTATTGAAAAAGGCAAATGTAAAACGTGAAGTTTGTTTCTTCAGTTGTGACTTTATTTTCGACAGTCAACTTTGAAATTTAAAAATTAATAACGTTATAGATAAACGTTATTAATTGTTTATTTATTTTCAACGTTGAATAAATTTTAATTATATTTTACAAGTAATCCAAATTTTGTTTCAACAAGGTTTAGTGATTAGTGTTAGAAAAGCAATTGTAATATTATTTGCGAAAGTATTTTAATTTGTAAGTACTTGTATCAGAATCAATTTGATCTTTGTTTCAATTTTTTGTATTTTACATAAACAATAAATGAAATTGAATTCATATGAATCTGAATAGGAAGATGAATTAAACAGAGAAACTGTTATCTTTGATGGAGTTGGATCTAGGTAGTCTAATAATATTTCTGTGTTAATTTTCTGTATTTATTTTTCCAACTCGGTAAACTGCACACTAATTAAACTGAATATCAATTAAAACATGTGGATTTAATGTGTTCCAACAAACATTGTTCTAAGATGGATAATTGGCACATAGTTTACCAAATTGGAAAAATTAAGAAAAAAATATAGAAAATTTACACAGAAATATTATCAAACTACCAGGATCTAGCCCGACCAAAAAATGGCATCTTTCCGAAGTATTTGTATAAAATTTTTTATTTTTACTTATATTTAATTAATAACAGTACACAACTAATTTATAATTAATTGTAAATTGAGTATATGTGAAATAAAATAATTTCGAAGATCAATAGAAATTACAAGTCCATACTTAAAATAATATTATTTTTTTACATAATCTATTTCGTTGGTGAATACATGGTTTGCAAGTTACACAGAAAATACAAACACTTAACATAATCAATAAATTAAATTGTTGAACCTCTTTGCATACAACATAGTTCTATAGTTCCTGATAAATTTTAACAATTGTTCTGGTCATTTATTATAAATAAAGGGAATTTCAGAAATGATATGCTAACTTTGCACGAAGTCAGCATATCATATCATTTTTTCGAAATTTTCTTCATTGAATTTTATAGTTTTTCGACGAGTTCTATAGTTCTGTAACATCGTTCTGACCACTAGCTCACTCTAAATAATTATTAACAATAAGTATCAGCATATCACCCATGCTATTGTGATATGTTGTGCTTCTACGATAAGTTCTCTGTTCGTTCGAGATTTTAAACAACAGTTCTAAGCTTCCTGATAATAGTTCCGTGCAGTTCTGACCACTGGCTATCTCAAAATAATTATTAACAATTAATATCAGCACATCACCTACGCTATAGTGATATATGCTTGTGCTGCACGACAAGTTCTCGGTTCTCTCGAGATTTTAGAACTATTGTTGAAAATCTCTAACGGACCGCGAACTTATCATAGAAGCACAGCGTAACACTGTAGCCTAGGTGATATGCTGATATTAATTGTTAATAATTATTTAGCAGTGGCCAGTGGTCAGAACTGCATGGAACTGTCATCAGGGAACTTAGAACTATTGTTTAAAATCTCGAAAGAACCGAGAACTTATCGTAGAAGCATAGCATATATCACTATAGCGTGGATGATGTGCTGATATTAATTGTTAATAATTATATAGAGTGAGCAAGTGGTCAGAACTGTGTTACAGAACTATAAAACTCGTCGAAAACTATAAAATTCAATGAAGGCAATTTCGAAAAAATGATATGATATGCTGACTTCGTATGAAGTTAGCGTATCATTTTTCACATTTCCTTTATTTATAATAAATGACCGGAACTATTGTTAAAAGAACCCCGCACTAATCATGTAGGAAATTGGATTTCGGTTAAATTGGCTAGTTTTCACATATGTTGTAGCTTATGACCTGCTGAACCTGCTGAACAAAAAATGTAATGGGCTCAAACTTAAATAATGGCTAGTTAATGGGCTACAGCCAGTCAAACAGAAAATTTGGGCTCCGCGGGTCTTGTTTGGAAATACTTTGAAGCATATTAGGAAAAAATGTTTCAGACAAAAGTTGTTTGGTTCGAAGGGAGACATAAGACGATGCCATTAATTTGACCTTGGATAATCATTTGAAGGTCACATGAAAGTCAATTTCAATTTCTTAAATGGACACTCCCATTTTTTATTGCACATTTTTATGTCAAGAGTTTTTCAAAGACACTATATGTATAATGAAATATAGTCTTATTTCGAACCAAACAAATTTTGTCTGAAACATTTTTTCCTAATATGCTTCAAAGTATTTCCAAACAAGACCCGCGGAGCCCAAATTTTCCATGTTTGACTGGCTGTAGCTCAGTAACTAGCCATTATTTAAGTTAGAGCCCATTATATTTTTTGTTCAGCAGGTCATAAGCTACAACATATGTTAAAACTAGCCAATTTAACCGAGATCCAATTTCTTATATGATTAGTGCGGGGTTCTCTATCAGGAACTATAGAACTATGTTGTATGCAAAAAGAACTTCACTTTTTTTTATATGCTGACAATTGATATGCCAATTTCATACACATTAGTAGTAACTATACATTTGTTTCCCTACATATTACCTTTGTACAGATTGTTACAAAGATAATTAAAAATGTCAAAAATATCATTTTTATGAAAAAGTAACTGAAAATATCAACGCATTATCTATATAATTATTATTACAAATAATTGGAAATTATTAATAAATATTATCTTAAAATGTACGTTTATACTTAAAAATAATATAAAGAAAAGAAAACTAGAGTTTTTTATATTTTTAATTATAAAAATTAAGTTTTTATAAATAAACATTTCTTATAACATAAAACGTTAAACGATACGCTGAATTAAATCACAAAAAATTGCGTACATGCTCATCTGGGGGTCAAAGAAATTCAAGGAATAAGACAATTGGATACTGTTTATAACTGAAATTCTTGAACGTTAGGACTATGGCACACAAAAACTTAAGTAGTAAAATTAAGACACAAGGGATCTTCTAATCACAATTAAGAACATAAGTAGCCATTTTGAAACTTAAGCAACGCTGAAAAGTGCATTCGATTCAAATTCTTACGTTTGAAATTTCACTGTTTAAGTTTTTTTATTTGCCACGGCTCTTATTCACGGTACTTCACTATCCGTTTACCTTATTGTCCATTTTTACCAATATAGATTAATTGTAATAGTAGTTTATATATTCTATTTCTTCTAATTTTAAAAATTTGAAGAAATAAAAAGAAAATTTAAGTTAATCTACATAGATAGAAATGGACATGAGTGATAAAGGGAAGATACTTTGAGGAAAATGTCCATGTAGACAAAAATCAAATAAAGAATCTTTCATTTGTTCATGCATTTAAGTCAGGTTGACTCTCATACGTACTCCTGGGTTAAAACTTAATCTTGACGAGAAAAGGTTAAGAATTTATTTATTAATAATCGATGTATCGTTAATTTTGTAGGTATTGGGATATATGAGCCAGGGATTACCTATAAACAAATGAAAAGACTACTCGAATTTGTCAACGAGTCTCAAGATACATCGAACGTTGCTTCCAATAAGAAAAATACGCAAGAGGTATGCAATAGTAATAATAATTGTATACATTATACAACCTCGAAATATGTTAAACATGAGATATTTCATATAACGATAGTAACGAAAAAGAAAAACAGGCAGGGAACTGTGTAGTGAATTCACTGTTCAATTTCTTGCAAAACTTTTTAGGGGACGCAACATTCTGATAACGAGTGCCTATCAGATGTTACATCTGACGTGAACATGCAGCAAGAAGTAACTCTGCAGGAGTGTACGGAGATACCAAGACCATCGTACTCGTTCAAACTGACTCGCACGTCCCCGACCATGCACGAACGTAAGACCGGCCACTATATCAACAGTCCGGAATCTCCGTCCCTTTTCGAAGCACGGAATCCTGTGTACAGGCGCAAGAGCTCCGACAGCGACGAGCTGTTCGAGAAACAGTACGATAGCGCCAACCCCACGCACGGTACAAATCGATACCTCTCGCTAAGGTCGGGAAATGTTTCGCTGGAATGCCAGAACGCGGCGGAGAGAAGAACGGCGCAGGACACGCAAGACGAGATCGTCCAAAAGCTGGAGAGGTGGCGATTAGATCCGCTCGATGTTCGCAGCAACGAAAACGACGTGCCTTTGCGACAACCAAGTCGACCTTTGACTCGGGAACGCATACCGTTCGAGCATTGCAAAGAGGCGCATACGTCTGACCAGTGCGATCAAGTAATACGTTCCGTCGGCCAGCATTTGAGGGAAATGGCAGACTTGTGGTGTACTTGGCGCCCCATTACCAATTCAATATTTCAATGGGGGTCACCCATTCAGGTGGGTACCTCCCTACAATCCCTTCCGTATCGTTCATACCGCTAACGGACGTAAAGTACTCGGGTTTTTTTTAATGTATCTAACACGCATTTTTCTTTCATGTTATACTCATTATACAGTTTGGTGTCGTCGAATAATTTATGTGCAGCAATTCTTTTAGACGTAAGATCTCGTATTTGCTTAGACAATATTATTAAAAGCATACTCACTTTCTATATCGTTTTGATATATTTGAACAACTCCGTCAGCACCCCACGCAACTCAAATTTCGCCGATAAATGTGCTAATTTAGAATTGTTGGTAAAGTCGAGTTGTGATTCAATTTATATCGGAGGAGATACAGTAGGTTCTCACGACAAATCTTTCTATGAGCAGTTATGTTAGTCGCCTCTGTTAAAATATCTCGTAATGTAATTCCACACTTTCTTTTAGGACTATACAGTATTGCAATATGCCATATTCATATTAAGAAAGTGCATTTATTATGGCCTTGTTTACACCGATCGTTTGATACGCGTATGAGGTACTATATTCGTACTAAATTGATTTAGTCCAGCGGTGTAAACGATAGCGTACTGAACTGGTACGATACGCTTGCAAAAGGAGTATCGTACCAATTTAGTATGCGTATCAAGTAATTTTGTGTCGGTGTAAACTGTAGCGCATTAAATAATAATTATCGAAGGAACGTTACGGTTAGGTGAGATGAGGTTTTCTTCGAAAATCTTGACTTATTTTTAAAAGTCCGACTAAGCTTGTAAATAAACAACTGATAATATTTTCCGAATCCATCGCAATCTAAGGATCACCGATTTTCCAACCAAATTAAATATAATACGTTTCTGTATCAAACCTAACCTTAATGTACTTTTTTGCACACTTAATACACATGGTGTAAACGCAGTCGGATTTAACATTTGGTACGCATCATTTTGGTTCACGTATCAAATAATTTTACGGTGTAAACAAAGCCTATGTCTCTGTTATTATACTAACACGGTATAACTTCCGTATATTACGTCGCTTCCATTACTTTAACCGACATAACATAAAAGTGTACATGTAAAATTACTTTGCGAGCCATTGGCATTTTTTGCCGAACGGATTAAGAAAAGCATACATATGAAATGCATACATACATACGCATATACAATTTGATATTTTTTATTGGTACTATAAAATTGAATTTATACGGAAATGTGTACAATATACATGAGCGTTTACAAGAACGCGCAATCGCTGAATAAAACTGTAAACTGCGAGAAACATTTTTGAATAAATTATATTTGTTTACAAAAAAAGATAGTGGCTTATTTCATTCAATCTTATTCTGATTCTAATCCTTGTAGGTCGGCGCCACTAACGGTAGCGTGGAAAAAAAACCATTAACAGACCCTAAGACCGAACAGATCACAGCGGAATACACGTACCGAGATGGTCACGAGCGAGCTAGTAAACGTAAAGCAAACACTCTCATCGCTAATCTGAATAAAGACAGTTCCACCGAGGACGAAGACGGCGGTTGGTACGACGTTCGTATTAAAAAACAGAGAGCTCGATCGAACGATAAGTCGAGTAATGTAGCGTGTGCTACGAATCAGCACGTGCATGTGTGTACAACCGATCAGGAGGAAGCAACGTCGAATATGATCGCGGCTTACTCTTTCGATGATAATATCGACGCGGATATTGACAATGAGCGCGTTAAACTGATATCTAAAAAAAAATCTGATGAAAAGGATGAAAGAGTATCACCTGAATTAACCATGTATCCTAGAAGGATAATACCTCCCACTCCTAAGGCGCGTTTGAGCTTGGCTAGACAAAGACGGGAAGGCACTGTATCGAAACAGACTCCAAAGACGCGGCGCGCTAATGAAAAGAAAGTCGTTGAACAGGCAAGGGATCAGAAGAAGAGCAATAAATTGACAGAAGAGGAAATTTTTCAGCAACTGAAAGAAGATTGGAAGGATGATGAGAAGGAAGAAGTTGCGGTGGAGAAGGACGTAGAAATTCGGCCGATGCCAATACCCAGAGAAATGCGATCTAGATTACGAGAGAAACGACTGCCACTGTCGAAAAGGGCAAAGGAGACACAGGCAATGACGAAGGAGGATGGAAGCGATGAGGAGTTGAACAAGAAAAAGAGACTGAAAGTCTGCGAGCAACGGAAAAAAGAGGAATTGTATGGAATAAAAAATAGAAACGGAAGTTGGGAACATTTATTGTCCGATGATGAAGACGAATCATCCGAGATGAATCAAGTAAGTTATTATTATACCTGACGCAAGACACTACCGTGTCTCTTGAAAGGTTTTACTTCCTCCGTTTCTGTCTCTCTTAATGGTTCACGGAGTATCGCTGTTTTCTGTAAATCTTTTTCATTTATAGGAGCACGATGCACAAAACGGTAGTCAATTCGACAATGTACCGACTTCGATAAAGAATGTGAGCTGTCCTATATGCAATAAGTGGTTTCCACATAACGAGATAGAGGATCATGCTGCTGATTGCGAACAATTCGAAACAAATAACGAAGAGGATAATAAAGACATAAATCAATTGGAATGTAATATCTGTAATAATTACAAGACGAACAATGGAGTTGAGTATGAGGAACATGTTCATCAGTGTATAAGTAATAGGAATGATTCAAGGCGCTTACATGGTACGTTTAGTATTACATAATCTGTTTTTTAGTAGTATCTTTTGTTTCTGATAAATACACTATCTTATCGCGGTACACATTAGATAACTCTATTCGACTTGTATAACAACTGATCTGCCGGGTTTTCATGTGTCGACACACGCCTTAGAAATTATTAAAAAAAAGTATTTCTGTTTGCACAAAGAACCAATAGATCCATAAATGTTGGAAAGACCCCCGCATGGCATCGTCTTATATCTTCCTTCGAACCAAACAACTTTTGTCTGAAACATTTTTTCCTAATATGCTTCAAAGTATTTCCAAACAAGACCCGCGGAGGCCGGGGAGCGTAAATTTTCTATATTTGACTGGCTGTAACCCAGTAACTAGCCATTATTTAAGTTTGAGCCCATTACATTTTTTGTTCAGCAGGTCATAAGCTACAACATATGTTAAAACTAGCCAATTTAACCGAGATCCAATTTCCTATATGATTAGTGCGGGGTTCTTTAACGAGTTTATACAGGCTAATATTTTCCGTTTCAACCCGTTGTTAACATAAAACAATAAATCTTGCTCCTTTATCTTTCACGACTATTCGTATTTCTGACTACAAAGATTCTAATCTTCTATTTCGGTCAAGTTTTTATTTATATTTAATTTTATGTCTTTCTTTAGGATCTGAAGATACCGTTACTACCTCTACCTCATCCTTTCGCAATTTTATACCGATCAGTGAACAGAAAGATTCCGAGATAGATTACTTGGGTCAGTTTCCATCTAATCTCCATGTAACAAAGAAAAATGTACATACTGGTAGAAAAATGAAACGTTGATTGGTCTCGCATTTTTATGAGAACTTTATATCGTATTCCCTCCTTTCATTTTTGAAGAAAAAAAATGTTGGGGGAGAGAAGCAAATTGTGAATTACGCAAATGTTATTGTATATACAACTGACTGATATATGTGTATTTCGCGATTGCTTATCAATAGTTTCTGACATGTACTCATCAGTAATGCGTGTGCAGAGTCTTATAACTCGCAAGTTTCGATATTGACTCTCGTACACCGAGGGGCCTGTTCTGTTAACGATATCATTACGTATGTGCTTGCGTAGATATAATATACCATACAAAAACTGCGCAAAACACGTAATATGTAATATCGTTTACGGAATAGGTCCTTAAAACCTCGATACATAAAATTCTGTCAAAATAAACTCCGTTCGAGATTAATTCTGAAAGATTTGATCTGGCGAATTCTTTCTTTTTGCGTTTGCAATTCAAAATACTTGCATCACGATGAATTAGTAATCACTTCGAAATTCATCAGAGATCTTAATCAAAATTAAAATTACAATTACAAGACATGCTATAAGTTTTTTTCGCAATGTACTTGGCAATTATTTTTTCTACACAGCCTCTTTTAACAAGGAATAAATATTGTGGATTGTTCTCAGAAATGCACGAGTCTTGTGTTGTATCTTATTCTTTCTTTTCTCGTTACATTTCCGTTTGTTTCTAGTAACAATGAAAGAAATTGAAGGATTACAAGCGATGAAACATCCTTCCTGCTTTAATCTATATCAAAAGGTCGAAAAGAGAAGTGTCGCACAGTGCCATATAGTTCGCAATCATTCCATTTCTATACTTTGTAATGCAGGCGCGACATATGGACCATGGATGATCGACGAGTGGACGTTGCTTTCGTAAATTCCTAAAGACATTTATTGAAAGGTTCTATGTACAATAGTTTTCACGACAACATATGCGATGAGAGAGGGAGAGATTTGTAAATTTACACTACGTAGAATTTCAACGCGCGCTAAATTATAAATGAGCATATTTTTATACTAATGGATTCACCAGAGTTGTTTATAAATAAACTGCAAATTAAGATTAACTCGGGAATTTTCATTAATCCTATGCCAAAAAATGAGGGGGGGGGGGCGCTTGATTAACGATACTTAGTCAGCAAAATGTTTGCAGATTGGCATCAGATTCAATCAGAAACCTACCAAAACCATAGCCATTTGTGACCGCATTTGGCTCTTGTTTTGGCAACAGAATTTAGAAAATATAAGTACACTGTTAACAGATTGTGGGCAGAAACCGAGCAGAATCTACGCTGCGAAGTTAAACGTTAGATTGGCAACAGAAATCTAGCAAGACCTGCGCGGCGCAGATTGGCGGTAGAAACTAGGCAGAATCACCGTTTCTATTCCTTCCGTTTTCGTTCCTTTTATTACAAAAATGCGTAAAACTATAAATAAGTAGCAAGGTTTTCTGTAAGGTTTCTACACACTCGTGGACAAGTTCACTTTAGTACCAGAAAGATGATCAAAGACTCTCACGTGGATGTGTTAATTTATAATACCGCGTGTAGTTTTCTTCTTACAAGAAAGTGTCATGCCGCGCGTCCATCTACCCAGATAACCAGTGTAAACACAAGTTGCTTTCACATTACTAAGAAAAATGTTATTTAAAAAAATTAGCATCTTGCTATGCATCTAGATGTCGTTTATTGTGCCGTTGTTTGCTAGCATTTGGTGTCGGAAATGAAACATTTGCATGATTCAAACATTATGCTAGCATTAAGTGCTTGGTCAGATGTAATAGATATAACATGTTTATATCTGTTAGAAAATTGAAAACAATATATGCTAATTCTTTGTTAACAATATGCCTATTCGATGTGCTATCTCTTTAGCAGTGCATTTAACTATACGACAATATGTCAACATTATGCTAGCTGTACTTAAATTACTAAAACATTGAATTCATATTCCCAGCAAAGAGCCAGCATCAGTTGCTGGCATTTTATTTCCATACATTGCTTGAGCATACTGGCTATCTGGGCTACCAGTGTGCCGACAAGTTATGGGCGTTTTCCAGCAAGGACACAGTGTAACACAGTGAATCGTTTCATCCTTGTTTAACATTGACAAACAACAAGGATGTAATGATTCACAGTGTTACACTGTGTGATACTGTATCCTTGCTGGAAAACGCCCTATGTCAGCAGATTTTGTTCGGTTTCTGCTGCAATCTGTCGCCATGTTGCGTGAGTAGGATCTGCTCGATTTCTGCCGCTAATCTATACTGTCTAAACATGTTATCAAGTTTTGTTATATTCCTGTTGATATTCTGCCGATATCATGTGATATATCAGTTCCTATAGGCAATCTGCAGTCTTTCTGCCTTCAAAATTTGTAGTGGATATTCGACGAGATCTGCTCCGACAGGTTTGGCTACCTGTCCAAACAGCACCAAGTCAACTATTAGTTGACTGTCAGTCGGCAGCTAAAGTCTAAAGTCGACTTCAAAGTCAAGCTGAATGTCAACTTATAGTCAACTAATAGTCGACAAATGACTCGACTATAGTCGGCTGTCAGTCAGCCAAAAGTCGACTTAGAAGTAAACTTTATGGCAATTAAAGGTCGACTTTATGATGATTAGAAGTCTACTTTATGACGATCAGAAGTCTATTTTATGGCAATTAGAAGTCAACTTTTAGTCAATTTTACGTTATTTATATTAACTACTAAATGTTTAATAGTGACATCTTGAAAACCTGATTGATTAAAGTTTTTATATTTTAATTGTATAATATTTACAATATATAATGCAATTAAGAAATAATAAAATTTATTATTTCTTAATTGTATTATATATTGTAATTAAAATTTGTATTAAATTGTATTAAATTTGTATTAAAATTGTATTAAAATATTGATTAAGACTTTGAAAATGCTCCAATTAAACTTAAATAATAATTATAATGAGCATACGTTTTAATAAAAAACAGACAATAAACCAGAGTACTATATATATTATATTATTTAATTATGCTTTTATTTTTGTGACAAATTTGACAGGTTTCCTTGATTAACTTGTATTAATCGACACATTTATGTAAATCGTATTAATTCGGTAGCCACGCGAAAAATATGACTCGTCTTATGTCCAAATACGATTGTCTATCAGGAAGACACTGATATTTCACGAACAAGCAAAAGGAACATGCATGACGCGACTATCGCGCTACACGCGGAAAGTGAGTCGTCGATTCGCTATTTGACCAGAAAGATTGTCCAAAAAAATATTTTTTACACATTTTTGCACTTTGCCGAAAAAAATAAGAAAAAAAGATGACGAAAAGATTTTTATGTCTTTCGGTAAGACGAAAAAATATTTTTTAGTTAATTTTTCGCTTTACCGAAAGGCGACTTTAAACTTCCTGAAAATGTCGACTTTAGGTCGACTTTCAGTCTATAGTTAAAGTCGACAATTAACCATGGATAGTAGACTAAATGTCTACTTCAAAAGTTGACTTCAAGGTGACTAAAAAATGTCGACTATCAGCCGGCAAACAGTCATTTGTGCTACGTGGGTGGGTACGACTCGTGGATTCAGCGGAGAAGCGTCGAGGTGGAATCGAGGCTCGTAGCGTACTCGTTCAATTGACAATTTTATGTCGCCCGAAGATCACAAGATAATATAAAGTGAATTTTATGTACATCATCTATTATCATCGATCTCATTCTCTTGCTGTGAAGGTTATGAACCGATAAACTTTGGCTGATGGCAGATAACTATCCGTAAGCGCTTAAAGGCTCCTACACAATGAGAATCCGTAATCCTTACGTAACTGTTACCATAAGAAATCGACCCGTATAAAGGCTCCTACACAATGAGAATCCGTAATCCTTACGTAACTGTTACCGTAAGAAATCGACCCGTATAATTTACAATGGCAGCCCGTAACCGTAACGTAACTTTAACGAAACAATCAGTAAGGAGTTGTTTCTAACCTGTAAAGAATTTTAAAGAAGTATTTTGTTTTGACAGAATCTAAATCGAAAACGCAATTGTGTGCAATGGATGTTCAGCGAGTTAAAAATATAGCACTTGTGACTGTTAATTTGGCTGCAATAATGCTACAATTAGTTAGGGAAAAAAGAAAAATGATTCGAAAAAGAAAACATTGGGTGCAGCTAATGCTGTTACAGCGTAAAGAGAAAGGTCATTTTCATACTCTTTTTCAATTCCTGAAAAATAATGACCACGAGGAATTTTTTAAATATACCCAAATGACCATCTCATAGTTCGAGAAACTGTTAAGTTAAAGAGTCTCTGACGAAGAAAAGTATTCGTGAGCCTTTGTCCGCCGAACATCGTTTATGTATTACCTTGTAGTAAGTTTATCTTATATTTATTAAATCATTAATTTTAAATTAATATTTTATTTTATATAGTTATCTTGCTCATGGTTGCAGTATGCAAAGCTGTTGCATGGAACTTTTATGTATCTGTAGCATACATATATGTATATTAGAATGTTTCTCAACTAACTCGATGAAAATTCGGTCCGATTCGTTGAGCATTATTTTATTTTATTTGCCACACTTGTAGAAAAACGAAACACCCAGAATACTCTCGATCTAACCTAATACCATCTTGTCAAACTCCTTCCTCAACGTAACCGTAAAAGTTCAAATAATTGAACTTTATTCGCTCATACTTGACGCCGACTGAATGTATTTTTAAATAATTTCTATATGCAATCGTTTGTATTTCGTATGTAGACGTTTCTAGTGCAATTAGAAATGGTTTGTGAGTTATTCGTTTGTTTGTAATTAATTAATTATTTTTCCACCGTATACTTAGCGCAATAGATAAATTAGATAAAATTTTTATATGAAATCGTTGGTATTTCGTATGAAGACGTTTGTAGTGCAATTAAAAAGGTTTGTGAGTGATCCAGATAATTTTAAGTAAATATTTATTAAATGGAAGTTAGCCGGATTCAAAATTTAATTGATTTCCTATCTATGATACTGAA